AGAAAAGCTTCTTCCGAAAGAAGCCTGCAGTCTAGACATAGACCCAGCTTCTAAGCCATCATGTCTTTTGGGAAGATACACACATTTCTCTCTCTCTTTCCTGATTGGGGTTTTGACTGCTTAAAAGGCCAGCCTCATCAGTATGTTTTCTCTCCAGAATCTCTGCACAGGAAAATTGCCTGCAGTTCTATGTTACCACACAGCAAGCACATTTATTCTTAAGGTGATAAGATTATAGAGAAAGCACATTAAAAGCAAAAGAACTTCCATGTTCATACCACGCGTCACACCAACTCCATGCTTGGGCTATCAGGAGATATCTTGCTGTAATACGCAATTCGTAGATGCATGTGTTGGGTAGGAAAATAATTGGCTGAGAAATGATGTTGATAGCCACTAGCCCTGTTAAGTGGACTTCTACAAGTAGCAATGAGAACTGATCACATTTTCTCCTCCCCTCCCACCAGCCCATGCTCCATTCAGTGCTCTCTTCTTATGCTTCCAATGCCTCATTCTGCTGTTAACGTTATATCTTTTTTCACACTATCCTCCACACTTGGCACTGTCTCCCTTATTCTGTGTATCAACCAATAACTTCCTTAAACCTCACCTTTTTACATGATCTTCCACAGTGACTTCCTCTCAGGCACTATGAGGACTCATTCTTGCTCTTGATCTTGTGTCATTTGAATTGTATTTTCTGACTTAGATTTCAAGATCTTGAATGTAGCGGCTTTGTCTTCCTAAGTGTTTATGAAGTGTTCTCAACATATGCATAGTGCTATATAAATAGTTATGATTATTTATAAAGCACATAGTTCTGCATAAAGCATATCTATAGGATATGAATAATACAATGCAAAACTGTAAAAATGAATTAAATACAGTAGAGTCCCGATTATCCGACCAAAATGGGACCGACAGGTGGTCGGATTAATGAAAATGTCGGATAATAGGGATTACCTGTAATTGATTTGGGTGGCCTGGCCCCTTCCCTCTCTGCAGCCCCCAGGCGTGGGCAGAGGGCCATTCTCCCGGCCCGCGCACAGGGGCTCCAGGGAGGGAAGGGGCAAGGCAGGAATGGAGACCGAACAGCGCCGGCAGAAGTAGCAGCAGCAGGGACGCCAGCAGCTGGAGAAGGAGAAATGGGCCAGGTCACATGGCAGGCGGCCAGGGGCAGTGCGGGTTTTTAGTTTTGCTTTCAGGGGCCGGCTATGTCGGATAAAGCGGAATGTCGGATTAGCGGAGGTTGGATAATCCGGACTCTGCTGTAGTAAATGGGAAGCTGTTAACAGGCAGAGAATATAAAATTACTACTTGTGGAGAACCTGCAGGGAAGCAGATTTAGTTGAAATACTTAGAACAATAGTTGGAAAGAAACAGAGGAGTAAAAAGAGAAATCATTTGAATAGTAAAATGCAGTAATTTTTAA